TATATTTTTATGCAACAAAGAATAACAGATTAGTTGGGAGAGAAAAAGGGACCTCAGGCAGGAATCTTATGCTGAATCCTAACTGCTAGGGCACTGAGCTGGGAAGGAAGTGTTTTTGGTTCCTGTCCTATGTTTCAGAACTCTATGTATTTTATATTCAATAGTCATAGGGCTGACTCAGGTGCCTCTGTTTGTCATAGGGCTGACTCAGGTGCCTCTGTTTCTGAGAAGGAAGGAGTTCAGAGGTACTGCTGAAATTATCATTTCATTCTGGCTAGCTCTGGCCAGCTCCTCAGGCAGCATGTGGATTTTTTGAATTGCCCTTCTTATTTATTTTATAGGGCACCTAAGTGTTAAACTCTGGGTTCTAGATTCCACTCTGGGGCACTACCTAAAAGTTTGGCACTGTAGCACCTATGTGTCGCAGAGTTTACCTTATGGATGCTAAAGTTCATCTAGTCCATCTCTCTGTCTCAGTTCCCTATCTAAAATGGGAAAAACAGACTTCTTTCTTGGATGGAGGTTGTGAAGTACAATAAGACTGTGAAGGGCTCAGGTATGATAGTAATGGAGGTCAGATAAGAATGATAGATAGATAATTTGTATTGTTGCCACAGCTGTTTCTCTTGCTTAAAATTATGATCTTTTCCACTTACTTTCCCACTGATTTAAACATGCAGGCCAGAAAGGTTCTCCTGAAAATTACATTTAATAAATTATGAGAATAATATGGATGTGCAATGGAAGAACCCCCTCCTCCATTTTGTAATGGAGTTGTTTTTTAAAGTCCTTCCTTCCAAATTAGCCTCATTTACAATGAATTACTCATAAGGCACCATAAACCTATACAGCACTATGGCAAAGAAGATATAATTTCCTTGAATGAAAGAGTTTAGTCTAGGTGATTTCTTCTCAGTTCATTTCAGCTTCTGTTCCTCCCTTCTTTCAAGGCCTTCCTTCCAAACCCCATCTAGAATAGACAAGTTACTGCATCCCTGTACTACATCCCATTCCCTCTCCTACTCTCAATATTCTCCTTACCCACAATTTCTCCTTCCTCTGCTTCTGAGAGTAGCTCTACAGTATTTGTCACCTTGTATTTCAAGGCCATCCTTCTGTTCTACCCCTCTCCAACTGACCCTTTCTTCAACAGCCACACTCTTCCCTCTTAACAATCTTTAGTTTTAACATTGATCTCCCAATATTTTTCTATGCAATCTGGCATCTGTTCTTTCAAGCAACCATTCATATTACTCATTTTCTTCTCTTTCTCTATAATTTATCCTCTAGTTCTCTTCCACCTACATCTATTTTTCAATCCCCTTTCCCCATCTCCTATATTCTTTTTCCTAGAAAACTATTCCATGCCAAATTATCCTTCCTCATTCTCCCATTCTTTCCTGAAGATGACCTTCCATTTCCATCAAGCTTTTTTTTCATGCTGAAGCACACAGCAAATCAGACACACTCAATGAGGTTAGTCTGCTCTTCAAAGAGCCATCAGTTACATAAGCAGGCAGTTCACTATACAATGATATCTAGCTAAATAAAGCAGTGGAGATGCAATCATTTTTATTTTTCTTTAAAGTAAACATGCATTGATATCAAAGGCCAACAATATCATATTGCAAAAGGTACTGCAGCATCATGCTCTTGTTGTTTCTGCTTTATCCTCTTTTAAACACTGGCAATATTTTAGAACTCTAGTGAGCATTTTCAAATTGAATAAAGTTATTTCTCTCGAGTTTCTGAAGCTGGCTTTGGTTTAATGGCATTGTAGGAGCTCTCTCTTGGGAAACCAAATGGTGATATACAAGTAGGATAAGAAAATTTGAAGACACCAACTGAACCAACTTCCAAGTAAAGGTCAAGTGAGGGAAAGCTCACACAGACTTAGACAATAATTAAAGCTACAAAACTTTTTCCATCTTTCCATTATTGCTCTTCTCTTGTACAATACCCCAAATCTACTATAGATGGAAAAGCCATTGGAAGAGGTTAAATGCAAGTTTTGGTTCCCTAAGTACACTGAAATTATACTCCTCTACAACAAACTAGCCAAACTAGCTTACAGGAGGAAAAAGCAGTGAGAAAGAAACAGTTCCCAGCTGCCGTAGTTCAATTCTTTCCTTAAGAGCCAATCAAGAGAGATCAGCCTGGGAATTCAAGTTTGGATGTGCACTCAAAGTGCCATTGTTGGATTTACAAATGATCCCTTGGATGAATTTAAGTCAACACTTTTGAAAGTCACAATTCCATCAGCTTATGCATGGTCTGTTGGGTCTTTTCTTTTTCCACTTAAACCACCATGTTCCTACTGCTATGCTAAACTACGAATTTATCCAGCGAAAGGACTCATGCGTACAGCCATTTTATGCTGTGTTGCAAGGTGAACATCATCAACACTATTTTGTTCCAAGCACAGGTGCAGCAAGTGATCTAGCAGCATTGTGCTACTTACTGAGATTTCACAAGCATCGGATTGACAGAGAGTCTATTAAATTGTAAACAAAAAACAAGGTTAAGATAAAAACCAAAGACTGGAATTGGGCATTTTTTTTTAACTGGATTCCATCTCCTCCACACAGTTGCCCTTGCTAAAGTGCAAGTAATTGACATGCGTATTGCATTCTCAGGAAGCCCAGTTCTATGGCTGCTGCTGGGAACAGCTCCCACTTACTTCAATAAAAGTTGCTTGCCTGAAGCAGCTGCAGAATTAGGCTCTGGAATTCATTCCATTAAAAAATACTACATCCAGCGTAACACACTATAAGAAGGTACTTATGTAGGAGATCTTCTTTCCTTATACACAGTATCCCTCTTCAATGGGGTGGGCAGGTTGTTAGCTTGTTCAGCACACTAACATCTCATTTAGGACACTAATTCTTACACAAGTTGAAACATACAGCACACTCAATACAATTAAAATATAGTTAACAACTTAATAAACCTCTACAAGTTATGAAAAGGGTTTTCTTTTTTGTTATGGGTAATCAGTTCTTTAAATTCTTCCTGGCCATGAAAGCAATAGGAAAGAATTGAGGTAAGTTGGAGCAACAGTACTCAGTATATGTTTAAGTTACTGAAACACCAATTGTGCAGCTGTGGCTGAAGTGTTAATTATTCCAAATTACAACACTGTAAAAATGGCACTTAATTACTTTGTATATTTTTTATCCCTCATAGGTCCTCCATGTCCTGCCAAACCAGAGTAAAGATACAAACAAGCATACATTCAAGTTGCAGGAGAACAAGCTGTATTCTATTCTACCTCTTATATTATCATGATAAATTTCATCTGAATCCTTATGCTTACTGAGGATATAGGAAACACAACTATCATCACCTGAAGTATCAGATAGAATTTCCAGTTCTGAGGGCATAAAACTTGTAATTTGTGCACTGAACAGATCAGATATAATTGTCATGGAGGCAAAATATATGTGGAGACACCATCGTTAAGTTTACATACCTACTGCTGACTATAACCAATAAATGTTTCATTAAAAAGAAAATTTTAAATATTACTGAACAAAAATGCTAAATTGACTTCCCTTGAAACATGAAATCTTTTTATTCGCAGGAAGGCAGGGGTGGCAAAAGCATTTCATGAGGTACCCCAATCCTGATACACTGGCCATTTCTATGAACTGGTGCTTTGTTTCTATGTTTTTCTCTAAGCTCTAGGGTTTCAACTACAGGCTCTTTTGCTGAGATTGTAAGTTGGTGTCAGACCATGGTAATGTTTTTAATAATATGAAGAGCAATCTACTAGGAAATGCCCAGACCACCCATCAATTTTGCAGACACAAAATACCTTTCAGTTTCTAATTATTTTCAGATGTTACATTGGAATTCACATGGTGAACTAGAAGTGAAAGGGTTATTTCTTATTATCAGTGCCATGAACCAACCAGACCCACCATTTATTTTAAAGAAATGATTGTCATTGTCTATAAAAATGTATTTTTCACTAAAAGTGATTTTTTTTTTTAAATCAAAGGGCACTTGAATCTTTTTTTAATGGAAAGAATATAAACTGGTGTTAGATACTTGCAATTTTTGGTAAAATTCTGAGCTAGACTCTTCCATGCAGAGAAGCTACTCTGTATCACCACATGTGGTAAAATCAAGCCATACAGGGATAGATGCAGGTACACCCCTTTTGCTGTGCGATGCACATGTAGTGAATTGAGCTCATCAGCACAACTGAGGCCCGAACCTGCACTGGCAAGACTGGAATTCAGGAGATGAATGCCACTATTGCTTACCCCCACTTTTCTCCTACCAAATTGAGTGGCGGGCAAGAGGATGGGGAGGTGAATGGCATTTACCCCCTGGGTTCTGAAGCCATACAACCAGGCTTCAGCCTCAGCTGTACTGATAAGCTGGTGAGCTTAGAGAGCTCAGTGAACATGTGCTATACATCCCAAGCCATACAACAAGAACAGAAGACCCCAAGATGATCATCTAGTTCAGGGAGCAGCAACCTCTTATAAATGGTGGGATGCCACTTGTGACCCAGTTGCCACTGCAGGTCACCAATCCCCCTCTGCCACCATTGGCTACTCCTTCCTTTAGCAGCATCCAAGCTGCATCCTTTTGCATGCCATTGCCTCCACTGCCAGTTCTTGTCCCCAAAAGCAGTGGGTAGGGCAAACAAGGCAGCACAGCTAAGCAGCACCTGCCATAGGGGATAAGAGAGAGTAATAAGGAGGGCTGAGGAAGGGATTGGTGATACAATGCAGAGGGATGTGCCAGCATGAGCTGAATGCCACTGATACCCCTTGGCTCCACAGGCTACACTGGAAGTTCACAGTCCAGATCTAATCACTTCACTGGCCTTATCTGACCTGTGGGCCTTAAGATGCTAACCTATGATCTATTGCAAGGTAATCTTCTGAGATGTAGGTCCCAGACCACACCATTTTCAGCTGTCAGCAGGGTGGACAAAAGGCAGTACAGCTGCAATAAACAGGATGCAGGTGAGGCTCTTCTATGAACTGCTGATCTCAGGCAGCCATACTGGGATTGCAGTAACAGCTGCAGTAATTTAAACCAGTCTGAAAGCTGCTCTGAATTTATATCCAGAAGATTAGCTCCAGGATCGAGAAAGTAAAAGATTAACATCATACCACTTATTTGCACACGTGCACACAAACACTCATGTACCATCTGCCTTGTATGTCCCATAGCTGAAGATCTGGCCCTTAAATTACAATTCCAGAGGCAATTTACAGGTCTCATGATGGGAGAAAAAATAAAAAATAAGACTGATATCCCATATCACCACATTATATGTCCTACAATTAAATATAATTTTATCCTGCTAGAATCCTATGATTATCTTGCTCAGATCCTATGATCCCTGCTGGCTTCCTGCCCCTGGGGCAGGGGGCTGGACTCGATCTTCAGAGGTCCTTTCCAGCCCTAATGTCTATGAATCTATAAGTGGAGGACACCTGTCAAAATTATATTTGAATACCTCTGTTTCTGTCAATTCTGGGATAAGAATGTAAAATGTACTGTTCGTGCTGCTCAACAACTAAGTCAGCATTGGACATTCCCCAAGGATTAATGATTAGCTGACAGCAGTCAATACCATGAATTTCAGCCAGTTAACTTCAGTAAACGCCCTGCAATAAAGAGGTGCCTGATAAATTAGTCATCAGAAAAAAATACTGATATTCTGGAATTATTTTGCTGATTTTATCAGACTGCATGGATTACTGCCAGCATTACAGTTATTATCCCAGAAGACTGCTTAACATGTATGACAATGTCAAGACTTTGTACTTGATTTTGTTTGTAGCGAGGCTCACAATACAACATTTTCAAAGCTGGGTGCCTTAAGTTAGGCTCCAACACAGGGGTGGGCAATTATTTTGGGCGGAGTGCCGCTTACCGAGTTTTAGCAAGCCATCAAGGGCCACATGACATTCAGCCGGGGCAGATAGATATTGATTTTCTAAACTTTTTAGTGGCCCCGTGGGCCAGATAGAATGGCCTGGTGGGCTACATCCAGCCCGCGGGCCGCATTTTGCCCACCCCTGCTCTAACATATCTGTAAGTAATTATGATTTCCAAAACACAGTTTTATTGGTGGCAACAAAAACTGTTGCTCAGCACAACAGAAGATCAAGCTTCTTATTCAGGTGCCTAAGTATAGAGAGAGACCTCCCAACACCCATGCTCTTTTTACCCCTTCCATTATCAAGTACCCTGAACAGCAGATTCACAATATACTTCATCCTGAATTCTTGCATCTGAATCCAGTTTTGAATGTCTGTACCTTAGCAATAGCACGAATGACACTTACATTCACAACAGACTCCTTGAACTTGATGTGAAGTCTGTAATTAGAAAGTGCAATGATGGCATCTTCTGCTCGTCCCACGTACTCTGTGCTCTCACCATGAAGCTCAATGAAGGGGACCTTCAAAATGGAAGGAAAAACCTTTTAGAAATCATGTGCCGAAGACATGCATGTCCTTGTATATGCCCACTCAAGCAGCTCAGGCAGATGCCCAAAAAGTGGCAGCTGATAGCAAGAATCATGGGTTAGTTTTTGTCCAGATATCCTCTGCACCCTTCCTAGCTTCTCACAATGTTTTCCTTTGCAACTGAAAACTTCTCTCCTTAGTTAACCCTACAGAGCCAACAGAGCTAAGAGATATATTTCATTTCTTTCTGAGCACCAACAAATAAATCGGTTTCGTTTCAGAAATACCTATATTAAGATATTCCAAAACTTAATGTGTAAGCATCTTGATCTAACGGCAATCCAATTTAGCATCCAAGGTCCTTTATACAGAGAGCTGGGAGAGGTATGTGCTTCTGAGGATGATTTAAAAAAATGTAGTCAATAGGAAGCACTAAATTCTGGGGTGTGTTTGCATGCCTGTCCCCTGTAATGAGTTTGGACACCTGACTCAGGCTGAGCATTAAGCACTTGTATTTATTTGAAATCTCTTATACCTCCTACTGTTCCTGGGAGCTGTCACTGTGGTGGTACCTTTTCCCACTAGTTTTGCAATTACAGTACAAGTAAGTAGGAGACAAAGGTTCTAGGTCAGTGGTTCTCAACCTTCTTAGACTCAAGGCACCCCTACCTAACTTTTGTGAATTGAGGCAGAAAGCAGGGTAGAAATGCACCTTACAGACTAACTAAATCAGAGATGTATACACTTTCATAAGCCAAAGCTCACTTCACCAGATGTTGTGAAAGGACATGCACAGAACAGTCTATCAAATGGAAAGAAAGAGTGATTTGAATACAAAAAACAGGGAAGGGGGGGAGGGAAAAAAGGGCTGGGAGAGGCAAACAAAGTAATAAACCCATAGAGATAAAGCAGTCACACAAATGCTAATACAAGATATTATCATGTCCTGTTACTCAGGTAATGGGCTAAGACTCGATAGTCTATATTAAGACATCCAGTTTATGGGTGATTTCTTGCTCTGCAATTTCACATTCACGTCAGTTTTTAAAGTTCCATAGTTTTAAGAGGACAGCTATGGAATGTCCAGGAAGGTTTAAGTGTTCTGCCCCAGGCTCTTGTGTGTTTTTGGACTTGATGCAAGATCAGTGTCCGCTCATTCTTTAACACTAATATACAAAGGGGCATTGTAAGCTGGTGATGGCATATATGACATCTGTAGAGACGGAAGTGAACAAAACTTGGATCGGTATTATTTGATCTAGTGGCAACATGGTCTGAACTGATGAGGGGGCACAGCTTGCATCTGAGTCCATTGCAAAGGCTACTGCCTCAGTAAGAATAGGATTTAGGCAGCCTGTTGCTTGAGATATGCTATTTTAGGTTGAGGACCTGTCTGTTAACCAAGACAGGTTTGTTCCCCATGTCTATCAAAGAGTCATCGTTTTCCAGGAGGGGGTGGAGGACAAACCTTTCCATAAAATATAGGGCAGCCACAAAGGTCCTTCAGTTCCTTCATTAAAATAGCATCTAGGTCATATAGAACCCCCAGAAGCAAAGAAGGATAGCAGGCCATGAAATACACGTGGAAAACACAAAGGCACTGTCCCAGACTTAATCTTTATTTATCAAGAGATTATCCACGTGTATACTACTCATGACTCACAACCAAAGATCTCATGACCTGCTGGTGGGTGCCGCGAGTCTAGTGAAACAATTATTAAAAAACAGCCCTGCAAAAGCAAGTGCTGGATCTGAAGCAGACTGCCGAAGAATAGTAGTACTTGACGAAGGTGTTAAGTAAACTCAAATAGCTCTTCCATAAGTTTTGGAAAATGCAGAGGCTGCTTGAGCTGATAGACTGAGTCCTGATCTATGTAGATGGACACAAATGAACTGTTGTATAGCTAGTTGTAATACAGGTTGAAAACAACTGAGATAGCCTTTATCCATACAAAGTCTGATCTTTCAACTTGTCAGAAAAGGCAGAACTCAGGAACATTCCTGCATTATCTCCTTCTGTTTAAAGAAGAACAAGGCTTGGCAAAACCTAATGTATGAAGTGTTACCTTCTTGCCTAATATGAAGGTAGGGAAAGAAAACTGGCAAGTAGTGACTCCATTTAGATTAATACTTTAGACATTAGGCAAGAACTCTGGGTGAGGTATTAACATTGTCCTGCCTTTACTGAATACTGTACTTGGTGGTCCTGTGCAGGATTTCCGTCTCCTATTTTTCTAGGTAAAGATATAGCCATAGAGGCAGCCTTCAGGCAGATAGTAGAAGGAACAGGCTGCTAAAGGAATGGCTTTAAGCACCCCAGAAAACAGTGCCTCTTGGGTCAGGTGGTTCTCTATTGCCCACATTGCTGTCCCATTTGCTACTCTGGCTGCCTTACTGTCCTATTGCTGGGTGACTAACCCTATGGATTCTCAGCCTTTGGATCTCTGACTGCTCACTCCCCTGTAGCAGAGGTTCCCAACCCCCAGGCCGTGGCCCAGTATTGGGCTGCTGGTCTGCAGAAGGGCTGGCTGCTGGACAGGAAATTGGGAAGTGACCGGCATACTGCGGACCAGCCGCCAACCCACAGCATGCCGATCACTTCTGGTTTGCAGTATGCTGGTCTGCAGTTTGCCAGTCCACAGTCACTTCCATCCACAGTCTAAAAAAAGGTTGGGAACCACTGCCTTGGAGCCAGAATATAATGAGCAATTTTCTTCCCTTTCCCGACCTCCCATGTGGATTTCCCTGCTCTGGCTTCCCCCTTAAAGTAACGAGAGCCCTGGCTCCCTATTACAGTGCCAAAAAAGTGTCAGAGCTAGAAGCTACTAGGAGAGTACTACATGCTTAAGGACAAGGTACTTCAGTACTGGGAGACTGGAATCTGATGCATCAGCACCAGTTAGAAGGTAAATAACTTAAGTGGCACCAAAATGGCTCTGTGACCCTTCAGTACCGAGTCATCAAGGGGACCCAATACGGATTTGGAACTGCCTCCTAATTTAAATTTATTTGGTGCTGAGCCAAAGTCTGAATCACCATCCCACTGAGAGAGATGTTTCTTCCTTCCCCTCTTTGAACACTTGAATGGCGTGCACACAGCTGCACAATTTGTGATTCAGCTCTGGTCACCCAAATATGCCAATTGAGCACATAAGGTTGAATCCGCATTTCCTACTTTTTAGCAAAGTGCTGTAACCACCAGGTTGCAAACTAGTGTCACCAATCACTACCGAGGTATGTTCAGTAGGCACATACACATCTGTACACCCATAAATGAATCACAAACTGTACCCATGTGCCAAAAACTGCAATTATCCCACTGCTTCCATGTTATTTAGGTACACAGGGAAGGGCATCTATACACGAGCAGCGAGTCAGAACAGACTCAGTTAATCAAGTCTGCTGGAGTGTGGTAATTACCACGCTCCAGCAGCCTCCTGAAACTTGTGTATCAGCAACCCCGTGCTTAAAAACGGTGGCAGACGCGCTTTATCTAAAACTCATGTGCAGCTTTAGAGCATCCCTGCCACCATTTTTAAGCATGGGGATGCAGATACACGAGACACTCCAGGCGCTTTAATTCAAGCGGCTCTCAGAGCTGCTCTAATTAAAGTGCCCCCTCTCCCCCGCTCATGAAGCATGTGTATAAACAACCAAAAAAGGGAAACAGGATTTAGCCCTAACTGTTCTTGAGCCCACAATTATCCTGCAATAAGTGAAAGCTAAAGTGTGGCAGTTTATGCCTGAAAGAAACATAATGACGTTGCCCCACTTTTGTTTTAATTTACCACAGGGAAATTGCAGGCACATGAACAGTTATTACATGTCAGCTCTTCTGTTGTAATCTCCACCTACTGTTAAGCCTTTCAATTTAACCATTTTTCCGTAACCCAAGAGGAAAAGTTTGAGGCAAATTCTCACATCTTTTTGTGCCCTTTTGGAAGAGCAACAGCATAAAGAATACTTGAATAGCACATGATCTTCACTACAGCAGAAGAAGTACTTAGACTGTCTGCCACTAAAGGAAAGAACAACCTCACAAGAGGGTCAAAATTTGAATCCAAGACTTCAAACTCACCATGTCCAAGGAGTTCTAGTGCCTTCTGGATTCCAAATGTTTTCCTTTCTACCTTTTTCTCTCCCTTCTTCCCCACCTTTTTCTTTGTTAATGGGCCAATTAGCTATATATATCAAACCACACTAACTAGAATTAGGACTCTAACTCAAGAGAAAACAAATCACATAGTACAAAAAGATGCTGACACCGCTGATGGATGGCAAGAAAGAAATTAAGTGCATTTGCAACCAGCCTAGCCTTTATATCTTCAGTTCTGGAGATCACCCAGGGCACAAGCCCACCCCCAACAGACACTGCTGTCCAAAAAGGTTTGATCATGTGTGTAGGGGGTGCTTGTGCATCCAAAATGAAATGCATGTAAATAGGAACCAATAATTAAAAACAGCTAAACCCAAAATATCAAGATTTGACAGAAGTCAGTGAATTATGGGCAGTAAGCATAAGGGAATTTACAAATATCTAACTGCAAGACAGCAAACTCCTCAAAACCACCAAAAAACCCTACTGTATTATTACTAAGAAGTGGAAATATCACATGTGTAAAAACATCTACAAATTATGTGAGTTGAGAGCTTCTTTCAGTTCTTCAACTGCTAAATTTTCATTTGCAATGTTGAGTTTCTATGTTTACCTAATCTGGACTTTGAACTGCCTCCTTGTTTATATCAATTTGGTATAAGCATGAAAACGTGTGCTGCTCCTCTTTTACCTCGTACTGGGGAAAATTACACCTATGAATTTATCACCAACAAAAAGTTACACTGGTTTAACTGAAGATGTCAAATAAAACTGACTGAGGTTACGTTAGAAAGCCCGGTTTATATGAATTAGAAATAGACCAAGTTAAACTCAAATAAACAACTTTTCAACTGGAGCAGATGTGTCTACTTAGAACAGGGGTGGGCAAAATGCAGCCTGGGGGCCAGATGCAGCCCACCAGACCATTCTATTTGGCCCGCGGGGCCCCTACAAAACTTAGAAAATTAATATTAATTTGCCCTGGGCTGCCTGTCATGCAGCCCGCAATGGCTTGCCAAAACTCAGTAAGCGGCCCTCTACCCAAAATAATTGCCCGCCCCGACCTAGAGTTTGATACCAGTTTAATTGATCACGTTAAAAAGTCAGTTGCAGAAAATCGCGTTGACACTTTGAAATAATTTTGAAACAAAAATAGATAAATTTTATACATTGTAAGACAAGTGCCAAAAAATTATTTTAGATTTTTCACATAGGTACTGCTAATTAAGGAATAAAATATTTGCTACATTTGGGTGGAGGAGGGGAAATAAAAAATTTCTACAGGACTGAAAAGTCTCATGAGTGTGCTAAATGAGTATCCCCTGTGATTTCCAGATAGTCAAAGGTATCCTATATGATTACTTCAAAAGGAAGTTTTTATTTTCTTAAACCATTATTTCCACTATCAGTACACAGAATTTCCAATTAAACTTCCGTGTCAGAGTTGGAATCATACAACTGATCTACTGTGGGTACATCTACACAAGATGCTTTACTGCATGCTATATTAATCTAATGCACAGTAAAGTGTCACTGTCTACACACGCACAACAATTATTGTGCAGTAGATTAGTCTAATGCACCATATTCTAGTATCTGTAGATACTGGTACTAGAAATCAGCATGTTAAACTAATGACCAAAGTGCACATGAAGACGCTGACTGTGAGCAAACTGATCTTGGTCAGCCTTAGCAGCAGGGGGCAGGGACAGCTATCTTGGCTCTGTGGGACACCGTCTGCCAGCCATGTGGAAACCAGGACCAGCCCTTATGCCCCTGCAAGCCAGATGTTAACACGCAGGGGAGCCTGGAGCTCCCCCTAGCTGCTGCATGGGGGCTGAGCAGGGCAGGAGCAGCTCTAGACTGAACTGCTCCCATCAGGAGCAAATTTGCTCCTAACAGACATGTTCATATGCATGCGGGGGTGCAATTTAATGCGCCTGAATTTTCAGTGCAGAAAATTCAGGTCCATTAACTGCACATTGTAGATGCACCCTCTATGCTGTAACCTTAATCAGGCAAAGAATGGTCCAGTCATTACCTGCAGGTTCTCATCCTCACGGATCAGCTGTTTTCTGGGAAAGATTTGATTAGCCTGGATGCATTCAAGGCTGTGCTGAGTTTCTTCATCCTAAGAAACAAAACCCTACAATTAATTTCAACATTGTTATTTATCCACAGAAGAAATCTTTGTTGACTTTTTGAAGATATGTTTCCAGTGACCAATGAAGGCTCGAGCATGATGAATTATTAGAAGAATGTAGTTACCAATGGATAACTGAAATGATGTAATAACTGCTTTTTTACATACTTAGCAGAACAAAATTCTTAAACAGAGATTGTGGACCTCCTTTTTTGTTAATTGCTAAAAGATGAAGCAAAGTATATCTTTTTAATTTTAAATGAAAACATAGGAATTGAACTCAATCTTGATGCCGGGGGCTGGGGTGGTGCAGGTGCTAAAGCATATAGTTGACAGCCCAGAGCTTGCAAGTTTGAGGCCACAACAGAAGTGCTCATGGTGGAGTCCGTCAGATTCACTGAATCTGTGAATTCTGCTAAATAACTTGTTACAAGGACACAAAAAAGAAAAATAAGTTTTTGTGCTGAACAAATCTGTATTACTCTTCCATAATCCTGTAGTGTGTTATCAAATAGTATTAAAGATTAACTTCAATTACTTCTGCAATAAATCTCTTATAATTAATCTCAATTTAGATGGAAGAATGATGCCTTAAATTCTATGCCATCCTAATGTCAGAGGACAAGAATGGAATTATGCAGAATATTATCAGAAAATTAAAATACAAATTGGTCAAAGATGCATATAAAGTTAGGTGCAACCATCCTTTCAGGTCAGCTGGCAGTCTGAAGAGAGATATCTATCAGGTAATGAGAAGAGAATCTTAATATTACATTCTTTGAACATTTCAGATAATTGTTTCTAGAGGAAAAACACTTGTTTACACAAATAACCTGATTACACTGTGTTTATCGGTTTTATTAGCACTGCTGCCAGTGCCTGAAGCAGACCACCAAGAAGAGGATAGTCAGGCCACCATCCAACAGGGACCTGGAAGGCAAGTTTGGGTGAGACAGTGGGCACTTTGCCTTGCTGTGCAGCCAAGCCTGCAACACCCCACGGTGCCTCCAGAAGAACATTAGCTGCTGCTAGACGGGGGGTCAGCAGGAGCTGAGGACAGGAGGAGCTGGGAGTCAGCAGGAGCTTTGAGGCGCAGCAGGAGCTGGGGGTCTTGCTGCTCCTAGCCCCAACTGTCAGACAGATCAGTCATCTGTTGCATCACAACCTGCCTGGAAAGGTTCCTGAAGGATGCCATGCAGGCCAAGTACATCAGTAACCTGAAGGTAAAAACTGACCAGGGCCAAGTCTTTGAGGTCACTTTGAAGTGGGACCCCATCAACCACTCCATGCTTCTCAGGAACTTTATGCACTTCACAGACTGGTGTTTTATTCATCAGGCCCAACTCAACTGCCTCCCACTCAAATGGCACCATTCGCTATGGCCACCCAGAGAAGAGGTGCCAGAGGCCCAGCTATGAGAGTGAGATCCCTGCCGTATGTCCTATGCGGCTGCAAGCTCTATGCGAGAGTGGCAAATGCATCACAACACCATACAGGACCAATTGGTGAAGGCCATCACAGCATCGATCAGGAGGTTAGCTATGAACCATGCTGTCCCAGGCTAAGACAATTAGCAGTACCCAAACGTTGTTGTAATAGATGAGGACAACAAAAGGATCCTAATAATTGACATGACACAACATGGGCCAGTATGAAGATACCCACCCAGGACCACCCACCAGAAGCGATAGCAAGGGGATGGACTGAACACCCCACATGCCCCATAGACCTACAAAGACCATTAATGCCTTTGAATATTACTGACCCCAGCAATTGTACACTGCATGCTAAAACCATTGTCTAAGAATATCTTATCACCCTACAACTTTGTATCAATCTGGTTGCCATGCACAGCATCTTACCTCTCTTCCTATCATAGCATAGCACTGGCGCTACTTAACCCCTTTACCCTGGGGGGAACATGGCTAACCGCATGTTTTAGATTATGTCAACTATGCTTAGTTGATACACTTCAACTATGTACTCATGTAGGTACCAGAGATGTGGGTTTTCAGGAAAAAATTGAATTGGAAAAATTTCCAATGCCCTAAATAGAGCATGATCTGATTTAGCATGTTTATTTGACTTACATTTAGTAAACATAACTAAAAATTTACCCCCATGTTAATTTTATGACCCAAAAGCCACAAGTATTTGAACTGAAATATTTGTTTATGAAAAAAATTAAATACAGCACACTTAATGTGGCTTAAATGTTATATTCAAACAAATTCAAAGCTTTATGTGGAAAGAAATTATTTTTATTGGAATATTTGTAAAAATGTAAAGACAATACACAATAGCACGTACTTCCCTTACGTTGTTTGTTTAAATTTAAGGAAAAAAACTGAAGGCACTGAAAACTGTTGACACACTAGTGTTAACACACCCAAAGAACTGTGCATAATGTGCCGTGGTTGTCCACTCATCATCTTCAACAGTTTAACTCTCTTCCACTGAGGTCACTGCGGCACCTCCAGTTTCACTGTCACTATCTGTAGAATCACCTGCACTACTTGTTAGTCCCATTTCAGAATCAGATTGAGGCAAATCTGATTCAGAACTACTTGAACCACATTCTCTTTCGCTAAAGGATGGTTTTACCAATGAGTCTATGGGCAAGGGCAATTTATCATCACACTGGATTTTCTTCACTAATGGTGCTTCTGACTGATCCAGAAGCAAGAGATTTTGAGAAATAGAAACAAGCTTAGCGGTACGTTCATTTGTTATTCTATTCCTCTTTTTTTGTCTTGATTGGGCTGAAAGCCTTCCAGTTCCATTCACAAGAAGCTGCTCTTGGTGGAATGGTTGGGATCCTTAAAGCAATCCTGGACAACAGTTGGATGTTACAGTATCCCTTCCACCACGTGAGAGGAAACATTCTCTGCTGCATGCCAAATGATGTCTTTGCTCCAAAGTTTTTCTTTTGCGCAGTACTTGGCAATGTCTGTCATCACGGCTATTTCGTCAATGTTGGGGGCACTCTTAACTACTTCCATAATTGTATCGAGAGCAGTAGATAATTCATCTTCTGATAAATGTTGTCCTCTTTGTTGAGGATCCAAACGGTTTGCTGCCAGATGAACTGGATGAGAGCAAAACTCAGATAACTTATTTTACTACTACTACTTTTTTGGATAGAGGTGAAGAAGGCAGAAGCTCAATTAGATTTTCATTCAGTTGTCTGAATATCTCTGGAACATTTGAAAGGCTTGGTGCGTCTCCTTCAAGTTTCTTGATAGCCATTGAAACCAGTAGTAGCAAATTGAATGCTGCTTGAACTTGAACCCAGAACACATCATTGTTGAGAATCTGCTTCTGAATGTTCACAGGAATAATCTGGGATACTGTGCCATCCATTGAAGCACGCTGCAAAAAGTTTTCTGTGCGCAGCAAACTATGTAAACAGTTTGTAGCCGAGCCCCATCTAGTTTCTCCTGGCAATAAAAGTGCACTTTCCCTCCCTTGCTTCTCTTTCTGTTATTTCTTTAAAGTCTGATTAGCAACATGATGATTGCTGAATACCGTCACAATCACTTTGCAGTTTGCCAATATCGTCTTCATTGTATTCACACTTACTACGTCCACTGCCAGAAGATTCAACCAATGAGCAAGACAGCCAAATATTACTAAATGAGGATACTTTGCCTTTACTATTTGCCATGCAGGTTTCATGTCACTTGCATTACTATTACAAGGGCTTGTACCCTGGAGGGACCTGCACTTTCAATCTCTCCATTCAGTAATTTGGCTATGTATTCACCTCTATGATGAGAAGAATTTGGTAGCGATTGCTTTCAGGAATATTGGTTCAGGTGTTGCTTTCCTTGTAAATCAGTCCATCCATCTGACATCAGAGTCAGTGACTGTGTTTGACCAATCCTTTGAATAACCATTGTTTGAGCTCTGTCATACTGTCTAAGAGAGACTGTGATAAGCGATAACATGAGGCTAACTTACATGATGGGTGAATTAGTTTGTAATGTTCCTTCCAGTACTGATTTTCAGTTATGGAAAGAGGTGTACTACTTGCAAATGTAGCTCAAGCTAATGTCTCATCTACTGCTTCTTGATCTTCTTTTGACATTTTGTCCACAAAGCTTGATAAAATGCTTGACTATCTTGAGCAGTTACTCATGGTGGATTGCATATCTGGTGACAATGATCTTGAAAGCGAGGGTCCTGCTTCTTCTTCCCCCAGACCTGGCAGCTCTACATTTTCATTTTCCATGTTTTGCAAATCTGCTAGTTCACTTGAGCTACCAAGTTCCTGCAACAAAAGGGGGAAAAGATTTTTATTTAGCCTATTCTAGTTGGGCCTTATCCATCAGAAAGATGGATGGAAGGATGCTTCCCCCCATCCCTGCCAGAAAGGACACTGCTGCTCAACTTGCTGCTCAGTTGCCCTGGGACTGCAGAGCCAAAGGGAAGTATAGTTTGGCCTCTGCCATCAACTAGAGGACTAAGCTCACTCTGCTGGGTTGAAATAGTTAACTATTTACCTATTATGCAATTTAAAAAAAAAAAAAAAAAAGATTGTTAAGCCTAAACCATTCTGGGTGCTTAGTGTAAGCAGAAAAGCAGGATACAAATATTTTAAATAAATAAATAAATAGATAAACCAACAAACAAACAATAGTCCAGAGTTACATTAACGACTTTTAAAATTATAATGTTTTAAAACAATACAGATGCTAGTCTGTAGTGTGTGTTGTTTAACATATTAATTTGTTTACTTACATAGGATTCCCGAAGTAGGTTCTTCTCAGATGATGTTGTGCCATCACTTGGTTGTATTAGCTTTCTGTATATGGCTTGTGCTCTTTCAGGACACTTTCTACATGTTATTAAATGCTTCTTCATTCTTGTTGCATTGTTAGCAAACTCCTGCCTGCAATGTTTACATCTACCAACTTTCTTCCTTCCTTCAGTGGCTTGAACTTCACTAGAATGATGCCACACACTAGTTTTGGGGGTTTTTTTGGTTTTTTGGTTTTTTTTCCAGATTAGGCATTATAATAACTACTTCAAAGCAAAAGCACTAGAACACTAACAGATTGCATGCAAACACTTCCAACTCTGCCAACTCAAGAAAAGAAATGAGACACTGCTCTGTGTGTTTGCTGGACTGAAAGTGAAACAAAAATTAATCATAGTTTTGGTTTTGCTTTCACTTGCAGTCTGACATGAAATAAGAATTTTAGCTTTGGTTTTGATTTAACCTGCACAGCCAATTAGGTGAATTCATAACTTGATTTTTTATTTGGATTATTATGTGAGTGTATTTACCCTCCTGTTTACAAATCAATAAAACGTACTCTCTCTCACACTTCCTAGGGATAATCACCTGAAAAACATTAATTACTACTTCGAAACTGCCAAGATTCCCTAATATTGTATTGGCATCCATTCATTGTTACCAATGAATTTTATGAAACAATGAATTTTTAGAAATGGAAAATTTCCCATGCAAAATAAAGCAATGGAAAATTTTCAGGAAAGTTTTCAGCCCCACATCTTTGGTAGCTAGCATGCATAGGGTCCTGTATTCCCTTGCCACTCTACAAAGCCATGTAAATAGCCACAAATGTTAACATTTTTAACAAAGTTTTAAATCTATTCTTAAAAAAAAACAAGTTGAAAGATGTACAAGTTTCCCTCAACTTATTGCAGATTCTGTATATGCGAATTCACTCTTATGCGATGAGCATTTTTAGACCCATAATTCGTTATATGGAAGGTAAATTCACTCTTATGCGATCGGCATAGCTCCGCCCCGCACCCAAACGGGTAAGTCTGTGGAGGGAGGGGAAAGGGCCTTGGGCCCGGGACCCCACTCACCCCAGCCCCTGCTGTAGCAGCCCAGGGTGCCAGCTGTGGAGGGAGCCGTAAGTGGATGCGGTGGAGGGAGGGGGGCACTTCTTGCTGCTCTGTGCCCCCTGGGAGGGCTGGGGGACAGTGCCGGGCTCTTCCCAGGGGGCACGAACCCTCAGATCTCTGTGGGATGACAGCAGGCTGCTGCTGGAGGCTGGGGCCAGTGGCGGCACCGGACTGTTCCTGGAGCTTGGTGCAACCCGCCCCGCACCCACTGACGGTTCCCTCCACAGCTGGTGCCAGTTGCTCCCAGGGCTGCTATAGGCTAGGGTGAGTGCGGACAAGCTGCACCACACCCCGTGCTGCCCAGGGCTCCACTTGTTCCCACTCACCCCAACCCATGCTGCAGCAACCCCAGGAGCAGCTGACACCAGCTGCCTGCACCAGTGCACAGCGCAGCCCAGAAGCTGGGCTGAGTAGGGACAAGTGGAGCCCAGGCGTTGGGGGACAGGCGGAAAACGGCGCAGCCCAATGGCTGGAGGCAGCTGGCACCAGCCACTCCCAGGGCACCTCAGCCCCTGCTGCAGCAGCATGCTGCTCTGTTCCCTCTGCTTTGCTCCCTTGTGCAGGCCCAGGAGTGGCACCCCCCCCTCCACCCCTTCCCTAGTCCCAGCCTCACTCCCTCTCTCACTGCGTGAACCTATCCCTATTTGTTACATTGTAAAGTGGGTTCGCTTTATGCGCCATTCTCCAGAAATGCATTTACTGCACAAATCAAGGGAAACCTATAGTAGCAAAAGGACTACTGCCAAAAACAGGGCTCAATCTTACAGTGTAGACAAGTCTTGAATCATATTTTAACTAAGTCTTCTGGAGGGACACATTTAAGCCCTGTTTGTTCCTGGTTGCTATTGCTGGCATTCTCAAGGCAATGTTTCTGCAGTGCCCAACCACTCAAAAAATAAGTTACAGTACAATATTAGTAGCCATAGGTATAGCAAGTGGAGGAGAAAGGAGAATTTTCCTGGTTCTTCCCCATGTCACACAATTGATGCAGATAACATTTATTTAATTTGAATACTGTGCAGAGCTCTAGAAATATTTCCCATCGTCCCCCAAGAAAAATGTGTTGTGGATACCCTAATCACAAACATAAACATCCAACTAAAAGTTTACATATGTGAAGCAGGGAACCTCCCATCTTCTCCTCTCATTTGGGTTGCATCAAAACAATATCAAAGAACATTCAAAGAACATATTTCAACGAAGTTCATCCCTCTCCACTGTGACCTTGCCAAACAAATGGCACTCTTTTACAACATTCTCATTAGTAAATCCCAAAAGGATCTTGCAAAGGAAAGCAGTTATCACTAACTCCAGTTCCCACCCCCCAAAAAATGCAGGGTATGTGGCATCTTAGAGACTTAACTGGTTTAGAGAAGCATACGTTTTTTCTGTGCAACAGCCTACTTCGTTGACTATGAAAGCTTATGCCACTCTCAACAAGTTAGCTTCTAAAATGCCACTCCATTCCGTCTTCTGCCTGACTTCAGACTAACAGCTAACCAACTCTGTTAATCCCAAAGATAAATTCTACTATATTTTTATGTGTCTAGATTGCACTCATAGCCACAAAACTGTAATGCTGGCCATAGTTTGGATTGTATGTACACCTGCATAACTACATTCACCCTGTGATTGCCTTCTGAACACACACAGAAGGCTGTGCAGTGGCACTGGCTATGTAGGTTTCAGGACAGAGCAGAAATGCCCAGACCCATGCATAACAACAGGTAAGTCCTGAAACTTTTGTAATGAACAAAACGCAAGAGAGAAGAGATTTTGCCCACTTTTCAGCCCTAAAAACTTTTAGTTAAAGCACTTGCCCAGGAAGCAAAAATTTCAGGCTCTAGGCCTGCCTTTACCCATAGGAAGATTGAAACTTCATTTGCCACTTCTTGGCAAAGTGTTTATAATAGAAGGCCATGAGCTAGTCATTGCCTACATCATCCTCTTGCTCTCATCTTGAAAAGGGACAACTAGGCAGCCAGGAGGGGAACATGTATGTCGCCATGAAGGGGACAGCAAGCTGGAGAGAGAGATTTAGTGAGAGGAGATGCTTCCCTGGGGAAAAGGGGTTTCTGGCTCCTGGTCCTAGGGGTTTTCCTGCATCTCATATTTAATATTCATTGGAAGGGAAAAAAGTGTGATAATATCTGCCCACTGGGCAGTACAAGAACACAAGGAAGCCTCACTTCCAGAGCAGTTCCCCACTTACTGAGCCACAAGGGAAAGCTCCCTATAAATTGTTCTACTTGTGGCCCAACATATCTTCCCATCTTGGCTGCCAAGTGAATTAGCTTCAATAGAACGGATGGAGGGTTCTGTTAGTCCAGCTTAGGCTGGTGGTAAGGGCACCCTGCTGGGTAGTAAATGTGGGCTCAAGCCTCCTGTGGCTGAAAGGGGTCTAGAATCTGGGTTCCCGACTCTCTGGGCAAGTGCCTATTCAGCTAAAAGGCAGGTGGATGGGTACTTTTCCTCAAGTGTCAAACCATCCTCCTCCATGGACCTGTCATGTTCTCAGGTAGAATAAGACTGTATCCAATTGTAAGTGGTCACAACAGATCCCTTCTGAACGAGCTCAGAAGAACAAGTCTAATTGCTCAGGTAGGAGCAAGATCTTAGCTACCAAAAAGTGGAGTTGGATTTGGGCCCATAAGTCTAACTTCAACTGCTTATACTAAAGTTCAGGTAGATGGTACGGCATGGTGACACCTGAGAGACCAACTGGTTTGGACAGGCATCAGCTTTTGGACAACAGCCTACTTCATCAGATGCTATAAATGGATTACAGATTTAAAAGGAGGCTACACTAGCTACAGACTCAGGCACTACATCTGAGACCAGAAGCACTGAAGAACTCAAGCTGCAGTTAGTCCTCTACCACCTAATACATTCTGGGTTTGGTAGAGAAAGCAGGGAGCATGTGCACACTGAATGGGTACAGCTGGTAAAACCCACACTCTTAGAGTACAAAGTGCAGGCACACTCAGACTAGAATGCACATTTATACAAATACTTGAAGAAAAACCAAATATGTTATTAGCAGGTGTCTTCCTACAGAGCTGGTTAATAAGGGCATGAAAGAGAAAACAGCTCTGACCTTAGTGCTGAACTTGAACCCTGATATATTACAGCTAAGGATCAACTTTCTCATGCTTTAGCCTGCTTTGACCTGGTCAGTCCTGAAATAAAAGAAACATTTGCTTACCATGACAGGCCCACAGTAGGAGGAGAAATCCTCGCCTGCTCACAACACACCAAGGATCTTCTTTATGTAATATTAAAAGCTTAAAAACAAAATGACAAAGCATATGTAAGACAACTTCATTTTCTTTTCTTTAGGCAAACACGTTGTTTTAAATCCATGCTAATTTCCAATGATCAAGGATCTAGGTACAAGAAAACTCCAAGTAAATAGCACAATTGTGAACAGATGAAGTTAGTGCACACTAACTTGCCTCCAGGCACAGAAGCTCCATTATGAAATGTGTCTGGTGCCTTCAATTCATTCTGAATAATCAGTTTGGAGTGGACTGCTGAGAGAGTGCTAGTTTGATTGTAGCAATTAAACCAGTCTGTTTGTATTACTTAAATTAAAACATATCAGCTTTCCAGGCCACCCTGAAAGCTCCCCTGAGTCATCTAAAAGGCAGATTCATAGATTATAATGCCAGAAAAAAACCACTATATTTAGTTTGACTTTGTGTAAAACACAGACCATAAGATTTCCCCTGAAAGAGTTTTTTGTTTATACTACAACATACTTTTTAGAAAAACATATATATCTTAATTTTATATTCTAATGGTTAATTACCCTTGCTGTTAAAATGAGTTCCTACTTCCTGGTTTTGGTCTGAAGCTTCCAGCCACTGAGTTTTGTTATACCTATGTCTGTTAGACTGAAGAATCCTCAATTACCAAATTTCTGTTCCCTTAAAGATACTTATGTACTGTGATCCAGTCATGTATTAAAACTTTTTTGATAAGCCAGACTCAATTCTCAAATCATTCTTGTGGTTCTTCTCTGAACCCTCTTCCAATTTACCAGTTTCCATATTGAATTATGGGCATCAGAAATAGACACAGTATACTAACAGATTATCTTGTAAAATAAAAAGGATATTAGATCCCTCATTGCCTGTAATCATGATCATTCTCTATTGCTTCAAATCCTGCTTCTCTATGGTCAACAACAGGGGGTTTCTGAGCTGGGAGCTACCCATCATGAGGAAAATGAGATGGGGACAGAGTTTGAAAAGGAAAAAGAAGGAATATGAATACTGAGAGAGGATAGAGAGGCTGAAGATAGCAGCTGGGGGAAAAGGAGGTTTGAGCTGGAGATGCCAGTTATGAAAGGGATCTAAACTGGTTGTATTTACCACTCCACCACTCACTTGAGGCATTTATGCCACTATTATACATATAAAAGTATGTAGTTTGCTTAATCTAAATTATATGATCAATATAATCCAAATATCCTCAAATTAGAGACCAAAACTTGATCCAGTACAGAATCATTAATTATTATATAAATGAAACATTGTAATTAAAATACTATGGATCATTTATGTGCTGGCTCAAAAATTACAAAAAAACCCAAACATTGGAGGTCCACTGCTGACCAATTAATTAAAGTAGTGAAAATGAAGAGTTACTCTTTAAGCAGTGCTGTACAACATGTGGAAGGAAAAAACTGTTATTACAGGTGTGGTGGGCTCACTGCTTTTGTCTGGCAAGCCTGGCTTGGAGAAGGACACTTCAGATTGGTGGAACATTTCCACCAATCAGGTAACAGCTGGAAGGGGCTTGCCCTACCCCTGCTCAGAGGCAGGGGGATGCAAGGAGCCCCTGGACCTGGTTGAAGACTGAGCTTTGAGGTCCGGCAGACTTCAGGGGCGGAGCCTCCAGTGTAAATAAAATGCAGATGCAGCGAGGGACGGCAAGGAGAGAGGCGCTCTAGAGAAGACCATCATCTGAACCCTGCCTGAGCCTCGACGAAGTGTGGATCGGCGCATGGAGAGCCAGCCCTGGGAGCAGCTCGAGGCTGCTCAGGTCCCACATGGTTTGCTGGTCAGTATATGGAAAGCTGACCCTAGGAGCACCTCAAGGCTGCTGAAGTTAGTCCCGGCTCTAGGCCACATAACCAGAGCCCCGCAGTGTGGCTCAGCATTAAACTAAAAGAGCCCCAGTGCCCAGAGCAGGGCCCAGGAAGGGGAAAGACCCCTGGCATGAGGCTGGGGAACCGAAGCCAGTGAGGGCTCGGCTCCCATAGGAGCTCCCTGGGTACCCAATGTGGGGCACAGGGCCCAGAGGAAAGAACCCTCAACTTGAGGCCAACGGCTTCAGGAGGCTTGAAACGGTGTGGGGACCCAGAGGCCAGATCAACAGCCCCCAGAGGAAGGACCGTGAGTTATCGGGAACCTGGGTCCCACAGGGGAGGCACCCCTGGGCAAGGGATCCTGGGGGGGAGGAGGAAGGAGTGGGCATAGGGGGAGAAGACCCTATCCCAATTGAGGGACCAAGTGGTTGGAACCCAGATAGGGTGCGTCCAACATTTCGCATAGTTATGTTTCCTATTTGGTATCTATTGTTATTGTTGGTGTTATAAATAGTTGGGTGTATTAATTCTGTATAATGGGCTGTGTAAGGATGCCTTTATTAGCTAGCCCACTTGTGGTATAAACTTGCTGGATTGACTGTCCTGGGATCCACCCCTCTTCTGGGCCTGAGGCATGGGTACTTACCCGAATGCCCTCCCTAGGGCCGACTTCCTCCAGCTAACAGACCTTTATATGTATATTTGTATCTATATCTGTAATTATATCCATCTTACAGAGCTTTATATACATATGTATGTTGGTAACTCAATAAATTGTATATAGTTAAGAATTTTGGGCTTGGGTTAACTCTACAGAGGAAAGAGGGATCCATTCAAAATTCTGGGGTTCCTTGGGTGTACCTGGGTTACACAGGGTTTTTGGTTGTAGCTGTGGTGGTCTAAGGACACAGGTGGGCAAGGTTCTTTGGGTAGATGTGGTATCTTTTATTAGACCAACTGAGTAGTTGGAACAAAGTTCTTTGCAAGCTTTTAGGCACAAGTACCCTTCTTCAGGGATAGGGAGACTGCTGTTGTTCTGAGATCTCCGAGGAATGGAAAAAGCTAAGTGTGGCAGGAGGTCAGTGAGAATGTAAATAGGTAGAAATTAGGAAAACAATGGGTAGAGAAGGGAGGGGCGGTGGGATACAGGAGGAAAAAGTTATTACAGGGGGATTCAACTGAGTAAACATATGTTAGTGTCCAGTTATCATCAGTTACGATTATGATTATCATAAGGTTAGTATCATACAGTTAGTGTCCGATTATCATCATGTAACAACATATGTTACGTGTCTGGTTATAAAACACTGTTCTTTTCTAAAAATTCTGGACGATGACTTTTCTAACCTAAAAGGTACTGCATACACTACCAGGCAATTCTATTCTGGACCTCATTATGACAAAGTTATAATTCCTGACTCAATGGACTAGAAGCTGGTGTTTGCCTAGACTCCAGTGATCATGATCCGATTACATTCAATAAGGGCAGACTGAGGCTGATCCCAGCCAATAATATATATGATCAGCAGTCCCTCAATATGAGGATTACAGTCTTCCAGTACATAGGAAATCATTACTGAACCTATAGGTGACTGAGGAGGCCAATCTGAGATTCACATGGTTGACTGCAGAAGTGGCAAATAGTTCTGGGAGGAAGGAGTACATCATGATGATGTTGGGCAACAGCTCTCTCCCTTTGTTTTTCTCATCTATCTGTTTTCATGGTGCAAGAAAATTGCTTGAAAGGACTGATGCCCTGTACGATGATTCAGTCCTTGAGTCTCCCAGGTATTTCTTTTATGTTAATATTGCAGTTCTTAAGATTGGCCTCCAAAGTGTCCTTGAATCTCTTATGTTGACCAACTCTAGAACAGTAACCATCAGTGAGTTGGGTATATGAATTGTTTTGGGAGCCAGTTGTCAGGCATCCTTAATACATGCCCTGTCCAACAGAGTTGATGCCGTATAAACATAGCTTCAACGTTGGGTGTGTTTGCTTGAGCCAGAACACTGCCATTCAATCTTCTGCACTTCCAGGATTTTCCAAAGACACCGCTGATGATAAAGTTCCAAAGCTTTCAGGTGTTTCACTATGTCATATAGGCCTTAGGTCAATGAAAGCCATGTAAAGATTTCCGTGTTGCTCATGGCACGTCTCCTGCAGCTGTTTAGCAACAAAGATCATATCTACTATACCTCTGAGTGGTCTGGAACCATACTGGGACTGAGAAAGAATCTCCTTAGTTAGTGAAGTGAATCTAGGAAAATGCAAGGAAAAACCTTCCCAGCTATGGACAGGACAGCAATATCTTGATAGATTGGACTGCAGTAGTTATCTCATTTTCTGAATACGGGAATGATTCTGGCGTCTCTCAAGTTACTGGAAATCTGCATATTTCCAGATTTGTATAATAACAATATATAGTCAGTGACAGATCTTTTTTTCACTTTGCTGATGCATTTTAATTGGTATTCCATCAGGACTACATGCATCATCTGCTTAATGGTTTTCAAGGGCTCTTGATAAGTCCCAGCCAAACACACACACACACACACACACACACACACCCCCTTCAAAAAAAAACAAAACAAAACAAAAACTGATTTCCTCAATGCTTAGGATAATGACAAATAAAATTGAGCGGGAAGAAAAAAAAAAGAAAAAAAAATGTGTGAATGAAAACATGGAAGTCTTTAAAAACCCATTATTATAAAGCCAAACAGTCATGATTCTACAAATGAGAGAGATCCAGCACCAAAGCGAAGGCAACAATTAGAAATAAACAATATACAACAAATGGTAAAGAGAAGAAAAACCAAATAGCAACTGATATCAATTAGAAATTATAAAGTATGGATAATTGATAATGAAGCTAAAGACATTTAGGGAAAATCCAAAGCAGACAGATTAAATAAATTTGCATATGTTAGGAATAAAAGAATAAATAATGTTGGCAATGATGAACCCCCCCATTATTAATACAGTAATATTAATAATGATAGAAAAGAGGAAGAGGATGTTAATAAATAGTTTTGGTCTGTACCTTAAAAGAAGCAGGTGACACTTTCATATCACATTAGTAATTGTGATGAAGTACTTTTCATGATAAGAACCTGAGGAAGGGTGCTGCGATACCTGAAAGCTTGTTTTTGTCTGTACCAACCATACAGCTGGTCCAATAAAAAGTA